CGGTTTGTTTACATTTTGAACTGCTGTATTTTTTAAAATATGATGTACTGTCTGAATATCTAACACCATTTTGGTTCGTTATGCTTCTACATGAATATGAAATAGAGTTTGTGTTCAGAAAAATTCGAAACATTCAGAATTTGGGCAATGTTTACCTCAGAGGGCCCTCTATTGTTATGCGCAGAACCGATGCGCAGAACGGACTTGACTTCCCCTTTAACAATTCAGGGTTTGTCCACTCTTTGTTTCGACAGCAAAAAATATAGTACGTAATAATAATAATAATAATAATATAAATAATAATAATAATAATAATAATAACACTTTATTTATTGAGGATATAAACAGATAAAGTTACAACTTTTTTCCAATCTGGTCCTCCTAAACTCTATAGACACAACAATAACATTAAACATGACTATTTTTAGTATGAACTAATGAAATCATGGGTATAATGTAAAGTATTAACCAGTACTGCAATCAGTTGTTCATACCTCGAGAAAGCCCCAATTTTCTAATTGGGCAATTTTCTAACTATGTTTAAATTATATTTACAGAATAATATGTCGAAATACGTTGACACACAACTCACAAGTGTCTAAAGTGACATTATAAACATGACAACATATACAGTGTGTATCAAAATAATTCGAATCCAAATTTGGCGTGTAATAACGCAGAATATATTTGACAAATTCGGTTGGTTTTTACACCATTGTTAAGTTCATTTATTTATCTTTCAAATGACATGCTGTACGCGTCATTTAGTTGGAAAATGAAGGAGTATTGCTTTGACAAAAAAAGTCCATAAAAATCACAATTTTCCGCCGATGGGAATTGGACATTTTTTCTTTCAAAGTTAGTCCCACAAGGCTTTGAAATGCTAATCATCACTGAAAACTAAAATGCAAATTTAACGCGAATTTCTTCTCGTTCAACATGTTGAAAGCATAGGAGCTTAAATCTCTTTAAATGAACATGAATTTATGTAAATTTTGCTACATAACAGTTTGTTGATTAATTAAATTTGCATTATCTTTTGTTTGTACGTCTCACTTCGAATTCCCATCGGCGGAAAAATTTGATTTCGAGCAACTAGTTTTAACACACGATTTCTTGGTCATTTTTGATCTTATTGATATAAGAACGATATAATCGGAAACCTAATAGGCTATTCTTTATTGCCATATAAAAATTATATGGTTTACTGTAGTATTTTATAAACAGCAGTCTGTCAAATTTGGATTCGAATTATTTTGATACACACTGTATAAACATGAGTCGTGACACTTATGTGAAGAGTCAATCAGCGCTCTACCGAAAGTCGTGGGTTTTCTCAGGGTACTCCGGTTTCCTCCCACTGCAGGGAAAGTTGACAGGGTGGGTTGGGCTCCCAAACTGACCATTCCAACGTGGATGTGCTCCGTGATCAGACGAAATCTAGCGTTAATTCCTTTAAGTTTGCCCTTAAGAACTATTTCTTAATATCATATAACTAGTAAGGGTGTCGATCGCTTTGAATTATTAGGGACCTTAAGCAAACAGGATGGGAACGCGACGACGACGGCTATTCACACAATGGTATTCCTGATCTCGTACAAAAGGAATGAATAATTAAAAACCCCATGGGAGTTAGAGACGTTGTTTTAGGGCTTTTTACAACGGCAAACCACAGATTTTCACGTCTTGTGTACAACGCAAACATGTCAAGACGCGACAAGTGAAACTACAAATTTGCTCAGCAGACGCGTTTTTAACCATAACGCCTTTGTTATAATCTCTCCAAACTGAACTCAATTCATATATACATGCAGTGGATAATACACAACAACTCTTCTTCGCAATAATTTATTTGAAGAAATTTGTTTTGGCTGTCGTCGTCGCGTTGCCGTCGTACATGCTTAAGGTCCCTAATATTGTGATCAGTAAATTGTATAATTTGTATATATGAACTCATAATCCTAAGGTTTTTTATATATTTTTCTTACTTAAAATATATTAATCTAAGTAGCTTTTAGACGTTTTAAAGTAGAATTAATAACTTTGTATATATATTGTATATGAGGGCCAGAGGTTTTTCAGTTATATTGCTGTCATGTGTTTTTACCCTTAAGTAAAGTTGTTCATTTATTCATTCATTTAGTCCTTCGTGTTTCAGCTTAGCTCTCGGCTGCAAATAAGGATGCGTGACGATATTTATAATCGGATTTGGGTTTTTCTGGAAAACAACAGGTTTAATTTTATTTAATACTTCGCTATCTCGTTACCAGGCCCTTTCGATCCATAGCCCGAGGAGCGATATACACGTGTGAAATTTTAAAGGGTATGGGCAATGAAAATTTCTTCATCTATCTTATTGCTTCATCTGAAAGAGCATGAAAAAATAAGCCGATTGGCCGTTTACTGCTCTATTCTATCTCATCTGGTTCCGAAGTTATAAGCAAAAATGTGCAAAGTATAAATTGCTGATTCAGCACAATGTGTGACGTCATAAGCGGGGTAAGTATGTTTATTGAATACTACACTGAAGCATAGCTCAGTTATTATGGGCCCAAATCAAATGAAATTTTGGATACTGATTGTACATGATGAGACGCATGGAAAAACACTTCTAATTTTGTTGCCAGGGTAACAATGTCGTTCCCAGGACCCTTGCGCCAATTTTATAAAACAGCTTTATTCAAGGTACTGATAAAAATAAAATAATATCAGAAGTATGTGTACGATACCTATGCATGCCGAAAGTTTACTTGCATGATAATAATTCGAAAATGACATACACATAGAGAAATGCAACTAGTTATTCAAAATCGGTTTAAGGGGCCTGGGAACGACTGTGTTGCCTTGACAACGAAATTAGAAATATTTTCCCATGCGTCTCATCATGTACTATCTGTATGCAAAATTTCATTTGATTTGAGCCAATAATAACTCAGCTATGCTTTAGTTTACTATTGAATAAACATACTTACCCAGCTTATGACGTCACACATTGTGCTGAATCAGCAATTTATATTTTGCACATTTTTGCTTATAACTTCGGAACCAGATGAGATAGAATAGAGCAGTAAACGGCCAATCGGCTTATTTTTTCATGCTCTTTCAGATGAAGCAATAAGATAGATGAAGAAATTTTCATTGCCCATACCCTTTAACAAATATAAAACATTTTCCGTATTGATATACAGTTACATCAACACGAGTGGAAATTGGGAAAACGAGAAATTGTGTGGAAACACGACGCCCGAATGGCGGAGTTAATGTTTTATACTTGTTTTATAATATAGCACAGAGAAATACAACCTCGTTCTCCGAGCCTGCGATCCTTGGGAAGGAACGTGAGGCTCTGGGATAATCCGTTGCCGGAAGCCAGGAATCCTGGCTAAGATTGAACTGCGCATTCCGTATCAACGGCCAATCAGATTCCTCCCTGAAACGGATTATCCCAGAGCCTCACGTTCCTTCCCGAGGATCGCAGGCTCGGGGAACGAGATTGAGAGAAATACAAAAAAAGAAATTTTCCGACGTTTCCGTGTTGACATTGAGTTCTTTCAATACGGCTCTTAGCCAATCAGCGTTCAGAATTTCGGTACAAATGCTATATATGATGATGGTAGCGCTGTGTTCCGTTATACCGTAAACCTCCGACTATAAGCCCTGGGCTTATATTCTTTCGTAAGCGATTTTTGATGGTACCATGTAGCCCATACATGTATATTAATGGACCATCTTTTGTGTTAGTGTAATACTAATTGTGATAAACAAGTATAGTAATAGTGTTAATAGTGGTAATAATGACAAGCAATACTGATAAACAAGTGGGCTTATATATTCGGGTGGGCTTATATTTGGGGGGGGGGGTGCTTATATTCGGAATGAGGTGAGCGTTTGTACATGTGATGGGCTTATACACGGGGCTTATATTCGGAGGTTTACGGTATTAGATAATTCCTAACAGTTTAGATTTGAACTGTGAAATAGAAAGGTTGATATCTTGCAAGTGTGATGGTAAATAATTTAAAAAGATTCTCGGACTAGTTCTACAATAGAAATTACGACTGCGTGAGCCAAAAACCACTGCATCCTTATATATAAACTCCTTTAAAACGATTCTAAAACGATGATGTTGAAACTGTTGTAGTACCCTTGTAAGGTTCCTATAGCTATCATGTTTTGTGCTGTAAATTTTCAATTTTTCACTCATTTACACGCCCCTCGTGGAAATCAGCCTAGCCTGTTAAAATACTAGGTACATACGACCATGCGACAAGACTCCGTTGGTCGATAGCAGATATATACAAAGAGACACATAGTAGATATATATGGGGATCACATAATAAACACTCCACATGTTGTCAATTTTAGAAAGTCGATTTGAGTCAATTTTAGAAAGTTAATGTGTTGTCAAAATTATAAAGTACAGATTCATAATTGTTATCCCAGATTTACGCTTGTTCCATACTAAGCAGGCGGTCTAAAATTTCCCAGGCTTGCCCAATTTTAGGAACCGCCTGCCATGCAGGCTAGTTCCATACAGGCATACACTTTGTGCGGGTCTCGTCGTTTCGTGCGGTGCGCGCATGAAACACGAGAGGAGGGCGGGTGGCTGGTCACGAACCACGCAATAATTCCGAATGCGAGCCTGGATACGAATTTATTTAAGGCCCGGTCATTCTCCAGCCTCGTACCCAGGCGCAAATAACGTACTAAAAATAGTAACACTACAGTGTTTTTATATAGATCAGTGGCTAAGATGAGCGAGCGCGCAGGAGTTCTTGGGGAAGACGCGGTCGTGTCCTCCCCAAGCACCCCCGCGCGCTCGATCATCTTAGCCACTGATCTATATAAAACACTGTAGTGTTGCTATTTTTAGTACGTTATTTGCGCCTGGGTACGAGACTGGTCATTCTCAGGAACGCGTGTGCGGTGTGGTTCGTTGCATCACAGATTTAGCATAAGAAAAACATCTATACGTACAGTAAAGCCTGGCTTGTACTATCAAAGTTTCTGTGATCACAGCAGGAATTTTGCATCGGTAAATTCTAAGTTTTGAAGGATTTGTAAGAAATGTTTGAGGAAAAGTCAGTTTCCTCACACATTTCTTATGAATCCTTCAAAACGTAGAGACTAGAGTTTACCGATGCAAAATTCCTACTGTGATCACAGAAACTTTGATAGTGTAAACCAGTCTTAATTCAAGAAAAGCACAACATGTAGTTTCTAGTATTGGTTATTCTTGGAACACAATATTAAGCTGTTCTATGTATGTACAATGTTTTGCTAATTTGAATACTAAATAATACTAACAGAACTCTCTTGATTCTCTGTACAAACACTGGTATGACGTTTAAGAACAAAGCTTCACTCAGTCTACTTAACTATTGTCCTCTCATTTGCCACCAGCCTTATCGTCTCTGAAGGAGTTTAGCTCTGCGCAGGAAGATAGGTGCACCAAAGCAAACTCGGAATATTTCAAGCAGTGATTTCAAGAGGGAGGTTTTCAAGATGGCGGTTATTTTTCAAGACTGTTAAAACGTGAAAGAGCACATGTGCAAGGCGCTTATAACAATCCTCAACATTAACTCAAAACTAAAGCGAACTCTGAGTTTAAATGTTCAACTATCTTGAAAACCACCCTCTCGTTCATCGCTTTTAGTCATTACCCCAGGAACACGAATTGAGCAACACAAAAAAAAACGTAAGAAAATTACGAGCAAGCAACAATGTCTAGTTCTTATCTAACTTCTCTTCTGCTTTGTCCTAACAGTAGTCTCGAACAAAGTAGCGGGAAAACAAACTCACTACGAACATAACAATTATAAACAGGTCTAAATCTTTGCTTTGTGCTGTCGAGGTGTTTGTGCTCTGGGCGCAGCATGCTGAAGGGTCTATGTACATAGCAGGGAATTTAAGATACCAAAAACCAGTGTGTTTTAGTAAAGCCCTGGGCAAACTAGGAAACATTGTTGTAGAAACATTTGTGATTCTCGATGTTTCCTCAAATGTTTCCATGTTTGCCCACCCTTGGAAACATTGTTGCGGAAACAAAATTTGCTTCCCGAGAAAAAAAAAAATGTTTCCTAGCGACTTCAGAAACATTTGATGTTTCCCTATGTTTCTCACTAATGTTTCCTAGTGTTTGCCCACTCTGGGAAACATGGCGAAACATTGGTAGGAAACAATGTTTCCGCAACAATGTTTCCTAGTTTGCCCAGGGCTTAAATTATCGGGATTGGGATGATCATTATGAATATGGTTGTACGAATGAGAAAGTTCCCAATAATCTCAGTTAAGCCATGGCAATGGCACAGCCTCGTACCCAGGCGCTTAAAAGGATATCACGCACGAGGACCGCGCCAAGCTGTTAAATAGAGATCAGTGGCTAAGCTGAGCGCGCTTGCTTACTTAGCTACTGATCTCTATATAACGTTGTTTCCGCTTCCGTGATATCATCCTCTTAAGCGGCTGGGCACGAGGTTGGGAATGATAACACCGCGGTTAAACGTCCAGCAAAGAGTGTAAAATCAAAATATAACTTCGTCTTGACACAAGGAAATAGCGGTGAAATTCTACACCTTGTAGCTTCAACCGTTTCCTTGTAGTAAACGCTTTGTACTGGCATTAGTCCTATTATTTTGGCAGACAGTTTTCCCGCCATTTCCGTATACCCGCGCGTGTGCTTGACGTTTGACCGCGAAGTTGGATAAACAAACTTAGAGTAGGGTTAAGTTAGGGTTAGAGTTGGTGTTTGGAATAGGGTTAGTGTCAGTAAAACCGTTGCTTTGTTACGTTTTGTTACTCTGAGGCCAGCGAAATAACCTGTTCCTTGTTTAAATAGCAAGTGGCGGCATGTTGAGCTGGAATCAAAATAGGTTTAGTTTAGTGAGCATGGGTGGATGAGTTGAGATGACTCTCTATTTATAGAGAGTTTTAGATTGAAGTTTACGGCAAACGTCAAACCGCTAAAGCCTAGTTCTCATTCATCGCAAACTGTCACCGACGATCGGCGACGCTTATCGCCGATACTCGCCGAGCGCGAATGCACGAAAGTTCTCATA